CCAGACAAAGTACCATTGGATAAGTCCCTCTTGTGTCAGTGGGCCTCCCCTAGGTTACCTGACATCAGTACCAAACACCAAAGTCAGGGAGCCATCATTTTAATTTCCCACAGTGCCCCATATGAAATGTCACTCTTGGGCTTTGTGGTAAATTAAAATGGCAGCTTTTAGACCAAGACATTTTTACAAAGCTGGGCATCAGCAGTAGGCCTCAGTGGGGCCCTGGTAACTGTCTGGGGATGCCAGGCACTAAAGATAGAGTGATTCTTATAAAACTTGCCAGGACAGGGTTACTCATTAGTCATTATTTATTACATACAGTATATAGCAATATCCACTTTTTATTATTGCTGGTACTGTACCGAAGCATGACAAAAGTTATATATTGCTTCTCATAAGAATTGTTGAAATAAAAAAATCATCACATGAAAGTAATTTAAGAAGATTAAGATCTCTTCTCCCCAAGGTTTATTAGCAAATTCAGGAGCACACATAGCCAGAGCAATAGTGATTTCATTGGGCATCATTTTAGATCCCTGTTCTTTCAAACACTCGCTGCCACCCTCTGCTCAACATTTTGCAAAGTGACATCTGACTAGAATACAAGACACACACCTGACTCCTAATTCCCCAGCGGCCAAACCTGTTAAACTTTTGGCCTGTGTCAGTAAGATGACTGCAGTTCAAGTAATGCAAAATACACATGTTCAATCACTTCCCTGCTCCCTAAAGGCACATGGCTTCTTATCATGGAGAAGCAGGAGTTCCACACTGATGCACTGGAGAGCTAAGTGTCTTTAAAGCCTCATCAGGAAATTGAATATTCACAGCAACTTACTGCATGGAAGCAGAGCGTGAGTGACAATCACAGAAACTCCCATGATAGTGTTTATTGGTACCTGCTGCTTTGTTTTCTTAACTAAGGCCAGTATGGGGGGACATTGCATTAAGCTGGGGGCCTTATTCTCATGTCCTCTCCACTCTGGGCTTAATTGCCTTACAAGGTCTCTCTGCCTTAGATGGTAAGGTGTATGTCTTCGCTGACTTCAAAACACATCACACCAGCTGCCCTGCTGTGCTTGGAGACCTCCTCCTGGCCACTGAAGGTCTGAATGTCCTGGCCTGAGGGCACCACTGGCTGTGATCCTATAGCTTCTGAGTTGCCTTCAAGGGCAGCTTCACACAAAATGAATGGACATAAGGTCCCTAGCACTGACAACGAAGACACTTCTCAGTGTTCAATACCTTTTAGTGATGGGAAGTGACACTAGGAGAAAAAGAAATATGGTCACTGAAAGATTTTTATCCCCTCCCCTTCCATGTTAAAACAGATGGAGGAAGCTCACCAGAAGTCAGGAACTAACAGTCAAACGGAGGCCAAAAACACTCTCATTAAAACCATAAGACAATAAATTATATCCTTTCGTATTTATCCTTTAAAATTCTTAATCAAATCCATTTCCAGTTCTAATTTTACTATTTTTCTTTTCCCTGCTTTTGACCTTCAGTAAAATGTTTCCACTGATCAGGGGTAATAAAATGATGAATTATTATATGAAATTAGGCAAAAGATAGAAGAGATTTGTTGAGTAAATGGTGCCTGAGCAATGGGAGAAAATGTCTGTAATTAAATAGACAATGGCCCTGATCCGGTGAGATGTAACCCATATGTGGAAATATGTTTTCACCTGCTGGTTGTCTCCTCTGTGATTCAAGAGACTGCACACAGCGGAGGAATGCTCCACACCTGGTTTCTTGACCAGCCTTCTCTATGCAGCACTGAATGGCTCATCTCCTAGAACCGGTCCCCTCTTTTCATTTGGGGAAGGGTAGGAAAGTCTTCCACTCATCATCTCTTCTGGTGCATGAGAGAGAAGGGGCAGAGAAGAGCTTTCAAAACTATAGAGCAGATAGAACATACCTGGCATAGTAATATATATTCCTTGTGTTATAAGAACACTGATAGAAAATACATACTGAGCATTTATTCACAGATAATTTCCCTGCCTATATATTAAGATCACTGGTGTTATGATCATTACCTGAATATTCAACAGTGTGCCTACCAGTAGAGGCTAGGGCAGCCTTATTGGCATCTGTCTGTCTTTTTTTTTTTTTTTTGCAAGTAAATTTTTATTCAGAATTTGCATAAAGAAAAGAAAAAAGAACTAACAAATACAAAAATAAACATTTTAACATAAATTATTCATCCTATTTTCATACTATACAAAAAGAAAGCATATGTTCATACAAAAATAATAATATAACCATTAGGCTCTCCTTAGCCTTTGACTTCCCTTCACCCTTTTGGTAAGTATCAAATAAGTCCCGGGTTGCGTAATTAGTTTATTAAAGTTTATAGTTATTAGCTGATAAAGTTTTTCTAATACCGCCAGTTCCTCCTATATATCCGTTCCAATATATTTCCTAAACTTACTCCCATTTGTTGAAATTTCTGGTCGTCTTGGTCTCGTATTCTGCCTGTTAATCTATCTAGCTCGGCATAGTTGATCATTTTGACCTGCCAGTCACTTATGTTAGGAATAGTTTCTATTTTCCAGTTTTGTGCCAGCATAATTCTTGCGGCTGTGGTGGCATAGAGAAATATTTTTTATCTTCATTTTTATTTCCTTACCCATTATTCCCAGCAAAAAGGCCTCAGGTCTCTTGGGAAAAGTGTATTTAAAAACTTTTTAAGTTCATTATAAATTGCTTCCCAAAAACCTTCACCTTGCTGCATTGCCACCACATATGGTAGAGGTCTCCCTCCCCTTCACCACATTTCCAGCATGTCTTATTTTCTGATCTATAGATTTTAGCCAATTTTGCCGGCGTAAGATACCATCTATAGAGCATTTTCCAAACATTTTCTCTCAAACTCGTACAGGCCGTAAATTTAATGTCTCTATTCCACAATTTCAACCACTTTTCAAACTCGATGTTATAACCGAAGTCAATTGCCCATTTAATCATTGCCTCTTTGACTTCCTCGTCTTTTGTATGCCATTCCAGTAATATGTCATATAATTTAGACAATGTTTTGTTTTTGCCTTCTATTATTTCTATATTGAATTTTGATTTCTTGTCCTCAAAGCCCATTTTTCTTTTATCTTGTTTTAACATATCATTCACCTGATGATATTGTAACCAGCCGGTGAATTGATCCTTTATTTCCTCATACGGTTTAAGTTTAAGCCCTTGTTCTGATTTTCTTAGCAAATCTTCGTAGGTGGCTGTCTTCCCTTCCATGTTGGTTTTTTTATTGTTAAGACCTCTACTGGTGAAATCCACCATGGTGTTTTTCTTTCGAGAAGGTTCTTATTTCTTTCCCAGACCTGATATATTGGTCCCCTGAAAATATGGTTTAAGAAAGCCCTGTGGACTTTCACCTTCTCGTACCAGAGATATGCGTGCCACCCATACCGGTTATTGAAACCTTCTAAATCCAGTAGGTCTCTGTTCTCCAATTTTATCCAATCTTTTAACCAAAGTAGGCACGCTGCTTCATAATATAGGCTCAAATCTGGGAGGGCAAAACCTCCTCTTTCCTTTTTATCAATTAGTATTTTCATTTTAATCCTTGGTCTTTTCCCCTGCCAGATGAATTTCATCAGGGTTCTCTGCCATTCTTTACATTGTTTTAGACCTTTAATAACTGGAAGAGTTTGAAATAAAAACAACATCCTCGGCAAAACGTTCATTTTAACCACTGCTATCTTCCCTAAAAGGAAAATTTCATCCTCCCCATATTTCCAGATCTTTCTTTATTTTTTTCCATGTAACTTCATAATTATCTTTATATAGGTTTATGTTTTTGCCGTAATCCACACTCCCAAATATTTCACTTTTTCACCACCATGATTTCCACTTTTTGTTCTAGATCTTTCGTTTCTTCCTTAGTTAGATTTTTAACCAGCATTTTAGTTTTATTCTTGTTTACCTTAAAACCTGCCACCTCTCCAAATTCCTCAATTTTTGTAATGCTTCTTTTACACTATCTTGTGGATCTTCCAAAGTCAAAACAATATCGTCGGCAAAGGCTTTAATTTTGAATTCCTTCTTTCCTACTCTAATTCCTTTCACTTCTGTTGCCTCCCTCAGTCTCTTATTAAGTACTTCCAAAATTACAATAAATAATAAGGGGGACAGGGGGCAACCTTGTCTGGTCCCTTTATAAATGTTAAAATATTCTGTTGTATTGTTATTTATCACCAGCTTTGCTTTCTGTTCTTTGTATATTGCTTCTATGCCTCTTCTAAATTTTTCGCCAATTCCCATCCTTTCCAAAGCCTTCTTTAGGAAGTTCCAGGAAACATTATCAAATGCCTTTTCGGCGTCTATGAAAACCAGTGCGGCTTTTCTGTCTATTTTCATGTCCAGGTATTCAATAATGTCAATCAAATTCCTTACATTATCCCGTGATTGTCTCCCTGGGAGAAATCCTGTTTGATCACCATGAATTTTATTAATCAAGACCTTCTTTAATCTTTCCGCCATTATGTCTGCAAATAGCTTATAATCATTGTTTAATAATGAGATTGGCCTATAGTTCTTTACTTCCATAGTGTCCACCTCTTTTTTAGGGATCAATATAACATAGGCTTCCTTCCAGGTATTAGGTATCTTTCCTTCTCTCAATATATTGTTCATAACCTCTCCCAGCACTGGTGATATTTGGTTAATTAATGTTTTATAATATTTGGCCGGAAGGCCGTCCGGTCCAGCGCCTTCTCAGCTTTCATCTTTTTAATAGCCTTTTTATCTCTTCCTGTGTTATTATCTCATCTAGTGCTGCTCTTTCATCTTCTACAATTTGTTCCAGATGGTGTTTTTGCAGAAATTGATCTATTTCTTGTTCTGTTTCCTCTCCTCTTTTGTACAAATCCTTATAATATCTTTGGAATATTCTTTTTATTTCTTTTGGTTCTTCCATAATCATATCTCCTTCTTTTATTTTACTGATCGTATTCAACTTCTTCCTTTCTCTCAACTGCCACGCTAGATATTTCCCTATCTTATTTGCGGACTCAAAGTTCTTTTGATTCATCCTTTTAATTTTCCACTCTATCTCTTGGTTAATTATTGTAGCAAATTTAGCTTGTAGTATTTTTAAGTTCTGTTTTAAACTCTCTTCACTAGGGTTAACAGTTAATTTTCTTTCATTTTCCATAATCTGTATTAAAATCTGCTCTTTCTTTTTTTCTTTTTCTTTTCTTAATTGGGTATTTTTCTGAATCAAAAAACCCCTCATGACCGCTTTTCCTGCGTCCCACACCATCTCTATGGAAGTTTCTCCATTTAAATTCCACCTAAAGTATTCTTCAATTGTTTCTATAGCCTTATTTACTATCCTTTGATCATTGAATAAATATTCATTCATTCTCCATCTGGCTGTTTTAACCTCTCTACCTTTTAACTCCATGGAAACCGCACTATGATCAGATAAAGTTCGAGGCCAAATTTCAGACTTAATTAAATTCTGTACCAATTCCCTCGAGACCCAAATACTGTCTATCCTCCCCCAGCTCTGATTCGGATTTGAAAAAAAGTGAATTGTTTTGCAGTAGGGTTTTTAAACCTCCAAACATCCGTCAATCCCAAATTATTTACCATGTCGAAGAAAGATCGTGGTAGTTTACCTTCTTTCCCATCTTGTCTTTTTGTTAATCTATCCATATTCGGCGTCACCACCCCATTAAAATCTCCCATCAATATCATTTTCTGGTCCATCCATTCCATTAGTATATTATCTAATTCCAAAAGAAAGCTGATTTTTTCTCATTCGGGCGTATATTCCAACCACAACTATTTTTCTCCATGAAACACCATCTGTACCACCACTACTCTCCCATGTTCATCTTTATACAGTAGTTGCGGGTCATATTTTTCCTTTATATAAATTACTACCCCTCTTTTCTTAACCTTGTCGGAGGTCACAAAGTCCAATCCCAATCTCTTATTACTTAATACTCTCTTGTGTTTTCCTATAACATGCGTTTCTTGAAGACAAATTAAATCCCAATTCTTTTTCAACAATACATGTGCAATCTGATTCCTCTTATTTTTATTGTTCAAACCATTGACATTCCAGCTTATTGTTTTTAAAGCCATCTATTAAACTATTCTAGCTAATTTAACTAGATTAAATAGAGACTACTGTTCCTTGCTTTCCTCCTCTTGTTCTTCTCCTTCTCCTGTTAAGCTCTCCTCTTTTTCTTCTTCTTCACTCCCTTCACCCTCCTCGTCTCTCTGTCGTTCCTCCCTTTCCACCTCCCCTTCAACTTTTCCCAGGTCCTTCTCGTATCTCCTCGCAAATTTTTGGAGTTCAAAACTGGTGCTTAATTTAAACCTTTTTTCCTTAAAGTAGAATGAAATGCCTTCGGGAAACTCCCATCTATACAATATCCCATTCTTCTTCAATTGGTTTGTTAATTTTTTGTATGGCTCTCTCCTTCGAAGAAATCTCGAAGGAATTTCTCTAAAGATAATAATTGGGCTTCCTCCAATATATAACCTTTTTATGTGGTTCTGTTGCAGTATTTCATTTCTTATTTCCAAAGTGTTGAACATGACAATTACATCACCTGGCAGCTTTTTCTTTCTGGCTCTGTCTGATTTTGGTCTTATTCGAAAAATATTTACTAAATGGCAGTTTACCTCCTCCTCGCTCTTATTTAACCAAGTTGCCAGCTCTTTTATCATTTTAGATCTAATATTCTCATTTGGGGTCTCTGGTACACCCCTCAGTTTTAGGTTGGTTTGATTTTGCCTCATTTGCGTCATAGCCATATTGTCCAACAACTCCTCCTGCACTCTTTCTATCTCTTTAACTTCTACTCTAATTCTATCCACCTCCTTCTTACTAATTTTCGTATCTTTTTGCACCTTTTTCATTGAATCTTCCAAAACCTTAGTTCTTACTGATAAATCTTTAACCTTTCCTGTCAATTCCCCCACCACTCCCTCCAATTTCTTATCCAAAGTGTCCTGTACCTCAAGTAATTTTCTCTCAATATATTGTTCATTATTTTTGAATTCTTTCCTTATTTCGGCCATCAGACTGCTATAGTCTTTAATTTCTTTACTTTCCTTAGCATCTTCTTGCCTCGACGACCTCCTTTCCGCTGGTGTTGCCACGCCTTTTTTTGCACCGTTTGTCATTTTGTAGGCTTGAAAGGTCTTGGGGTCCACCACACTAATGTTATTCAAAAAGGGATGAGGCACAGGATCACCGATAATCTCTGATGGGTTAATAAGTTACCGGGTCTGGTGTTGGGGTATAATAGCAGATATTAGGCATCACACATCAGGCTATACACAAAGTTTTACAATCTTTACCTTTTACAGTCTTTGTCCTCTTAGAGGGTGGTATTATAGAGGTCTGGCGTCACCAAAAATTTTTCTTTACTGGAGACTTGGCAGTTCTTCAGGAAGTGTTCTTTATGCTGGTTTAAATTCTCCTATTTGGCTTTTGGCGCATGTCCCTTTAAATCTCAAATACATGCAGAGGCGTAGTAGATCAAGGACAAGATGGAATGGCGGATAGCAAAGCCAAGTTAGGTCTCGAAATGGCTTCCTCCTCCCTTTTTATACCCATGGGGAAGTCACTAACATAAAACCAACATTAAGGTCTGGGAAGACCCATGCTTTCTTCCACCCACTTCAAACAAAAAGTTGATGTTAACAATAACGTCCTCAAAAAACCTGTCAGTTAAAGCATCAACCAAATGCCCCAGAAACCTCCTTTCCTCCTCTCAAACCCGGTAAAGAGTCTCTCTATCAAAAGAAGAAAACTCAGTATTACCTTGCTTCCAACTCTTTGTACTTTGTACTTTGTAAAATGTACTTTATTATCGAGGATATTCCTTCCCCTCGCTAGCGGTTACTTTCTTGCTCTTTCATTCACGTCTGCCAGCTTTTCGCTTTACTCCTTTATCATTCTTACCGCCAGTAGTGAATTCCTCCTTCCTTTGTCTTTAATTACTTCTCCGCTGGGTACTTCATTCAACTTCATTCAACGTTCCTTTTGTTTTTACTTTGATTGTTTTCCAGTGTTCTCCCTCCTCTGCTTTCATCAAAGCTTTAGAACTATTTCCCAGCTTTTCCTCTGTTGTTGGAGGTCCGCCGCTTTCACTCGGAGCCTGAGGCTTCACAGCATGGAGTCTGATTTTTCCCCTTCTCGCTGCGGCTCCAGCCTTGTTAAACGCCGGCAACACAGGCGAGCACACGCAGCCTTGCTGGGTGTTTTGACCAACAGGATATTCCACCTGTGGTTTAGGGGTTCACGGAGCCTTCGTGACCCCTCTAAGACCCCCACGCTGTTCGAGGCTCCTCAGACGAGTTGCCTCGCGCTCCTTCCCGTGGCCGCGGCGTCCCGGAAGCTGATGTCAGGTGATATTTCATTATTGGCATCTGTCTGTCTTGAGAGACAATGGAGTACACCTCTGGGGGTGAAGTCAAACCACAGCAGTAGTTGCACCAAAGTGACCTCCCCTGGGGTGCAAGTCTGGGCAGGGCATATGGAGGTCCTGGGCTGCCCAGATGGCAAGACACAGATATGGTCCAAAAGAAAGCAGAGCAATACGTTTGGCACCAGCTTGGCTGCAGGAGTTGCTGAAAGGAGGAGTACAAGGTGCCATCCAACTGTCTTAGGGACTCCATTATGGATTTGTGTAGGGTTTACTCCTTAGCCTTCTCTTCTCCTGAATATATCCCTCAGAGCAGCAGAGGTTTAGGATCAGAGTATTCCTTCTCCTACATGGGCTACCTTCCCAGCTTGATGAGCCCTATCTGCACCTTACTTCCCTCTATGTGAATTTAACCCCCCTACTCGACTTAGTTTAAAGGTGTCTAGGAGTCTTGGTTGACCACAAGCTTGACATGAGCCAACAGTGTGACGCGGCAGCTAAAAAAGCCAATGCAATTCTGGGCTGCATCAATAGGAGTATAGCATCTAGATCAAGGGAAGTAATAGTGCCACTGTATTCTGCTCTGGTCAGACCTCACCTGGAGTATTGTGTCCAGTTCTGGGCACCACAGTTCAAGAAGGACACTGACAAACTGGAACGTGTCCAGAGGAGGGCAATCAAAATGGTCAAAGGCCTGGAAACGATGCCTTATGAGGAACGGCTAAGGGAGCTGGGCATGTTTAGCCTGGAGAAGAGGAGGTTAAGGGGTGATATGATAGCCATGTTCAAATATATAAAAGGATGTCACATAGAGGAGGGAGAAAGGTTGTTTTCTGCTGCTTCAGAGAAGCGGACACGGAGCAATGGATCCAAACTACAAGAAAGAAGATTCCACCTAAACATTAGGAAGAACTTCCTGACAGTAAGAGCTGTTTGACAGTGGAATTTGCTGCCAAGGAGTGTGGTGGAGTCTCCTTCTTTGGAGGTCTTTAAGCAGAGGCTTGACAACCATATGTCAGGAGTGCTCTGATGGTGTTTCCTGCTTGGCAGGGGGTTGGACTCGATGGCCCTTGTGGTCTATTCCAACTCTATGATTCTATGATTCTATGTGTCATCATCAGGGTTGCAAACATTCTTCCCAGTCCTCATGAATCCATCTCTTGCCAAAAGTCCCTCATCACTGAAGCACAGACTATAATCATGAATCAAACCCTTTCCCTATGATACCATTTGTATAATCAGCCACTCACTTCCAGTATTTCTCTCTTTTTGGCCCATGATTTTCAGCAGGAAGAAATGTCAAAACCACCAGCTGATCCCCAAGGTTCTTCCTCTTCTATCCAGAGCCTCACTTGCAATATAATCAAAACTGTGTCAAGAAGAAGTGCAATGGCTCAACAGTAGCGGAACATATACTTTCCACACGGAAGCTCCCAGGTGTCTCCAGATAGGCTTGGAAAAGACTCCTGCCTGAAACACCATCTTTCCCAATTTTCTGGAGACCAAGTTCAAATGCCAAATTTAAGCTTTAATTTGGGCCTGAGCTATTTGAAGGAACCCCTGCCAGTGGGTCTATGGCAAATTCCAAGGCTGCAAGCCTTTCAGAAGGATATACATTTTCTGACTGGCTTGGTCGTGATTGATGTTTCACAGCTTGGATTTGTAGTTAGTCGACTATTTTAGCTGTTGAGGTTTGTTTTTTATGCTTGGTGATGGTTATATTATTGGTTTTATTGATACTATGCAGTTTTGTATTGTTGTAGGCTGTGTGGGAGGGGCCTCACCCAATGTTTAAAAGAAACATAGACTGAGGGAAAGCTCAGCTGGTAGAGCATGAGACTCTTAATCTCAGGGTTGAGGGTTTGAGCCCCATGTTGTGCAACAGATTCCTTCATTGCAGGAGGCTGGACTAGATAACCACTGTGGTCCCTTCCAACTCTACATTTCTATGATTCTATGAGTTTAAATAAATGAATAAGCTATTCTAGAAGATGTTGTGACAGGCTGGCTAGACGCACTCAGAGAAACAGTTTCACATTGCATCATTTTATTGGTGATCCCCCTCATACAAAAATAATATTTAAGTGCTTCAAATATTTCTTAACACTACTCCTATCTATTGTCATGAACCACAACCATCTATAAAGCCTGCAGAACTGCAATTATTTGTTTCATTATCTTTCTTTTCTTTTCTTGAAGAGAAGCTATTGATTTTTCTACATCAGACTCTTACCCAGAGACCATTAAGAGATAAAATTTTATTTCTTAATTTTTTTCTTCCATCCTATTAAGGGCTGCGCTTGCATACTCTAACGATGGAGTCACTGAAGGTGACATCACATATTTTCAAGTTTGGAATACAATTGATTGATCATTGTCACCCACGATCATTCTAAGGGTTAAATTTCCTATGGTCACTGCCTCAACACAATGTCCCGGTGGGAATTTCACTGAGCAGGATTTTGCCTTGGAGATGGATGATCAGCAAAAAGATATTGATCTAGAGTCACTTCAATCACTTATTTTTTTCCTTTTATTTCTCTGAAGTATCTCTAGTAATTTGATCAAGTGTCAACCAAAACCAACCATGAAATTACTTAGAAAATTGTAATTCTGTCTCTCACTTTCTTTAAAACAAAGGAGCAGAGAGAAAAAGAAGATTCAGAACAAGCGCCCCATGGCAACAGACACTATGAAATATATCTATTATTACCACACTTCTGTTTCTTCTTTCATGGTTGCGCAAGTGTTTGTATAGAGCTGGGTTAGCAGTTAGGCTGAACAGTCTCCAGCCAAATTAGGGATCCAATATGGTTGAATCATTTGTAATCTCTCTTGCACAGAAAATGTTACTAGCTTAAAGGTAAAGTGACCCCTGACCATTAGGTAAAGTCGTGACCGACTCTGGGGTTGCGGCGCTCATCTCGCTTTATTGGCCAAGGGAGCCGGCGTACAGCTTCCGGGTCATGTGGCCAGCATGACTAAGCTGCTTCTGGCAAACCAGAGCAGCGCACGGAAATGCCGTTTACCTTCCTGCTGGAGCGGTACCTATTTATCTACTTGCACTTTGATGTGCTTTCGAACTGCTATGTTGGCAGGAGCAGGGACCCAGCAACGGGAGCTCACCCCATCACAGGATTCAAACCGCCGACCTTCTGATCGGCAAGTCCTAGGCTCTGTGGTTTAACCCACAGCACCACCCGCGTCCCTGTTACTAGCTTAAATGAGAGTAAAACAGCCATGCCCCCACTTCTTTCTTCTTCTTCTTTTTAAAAAAGTGTGCCTATATGTGTACTAGTAGTTGAAGTATATCTAGTGATTCAGGATAGTTTGTACACCCAGAACTTTAGCATATGATCTGGCACTATTGTGCAAAAGTCTTGGGCTGGATTCAGCTAAATAGCTGAGCTAACAGGAGCCAGTGCAACGAGTCCCACTAGTTCAATGGAGCCTCCTTCTGATGCACCAGCTCCTCCAACAGCTGTAGGGGGTTGGGAGAACCTCTGGAATGGTGCATGGTGGGAGGACAAGGGCGACTGTTCCATCAGGAAGCTGAAATGCATGTGCTGATGGAGCAGTCTCCTTAACACTACTTTGAATTCCACCCATTGGCTGCATCGGCACATAATGAGAAATCAGACATTCTGGCTTCCTGAGGTTTATCACAAACAAGCAGCATGTTTGTGTATGCTGCCCAGTTGCTCCTGCTTCACTCCTCCCCTGGCGCATGTGGAATAAACAAACCAGGAAACCGTAGTGTCTTGCTGTATTTGAACAAGATCAAGCCATAATCAGCAAGCCAAGAAACCATTCCTTCAGGATGGCTAATGATTATGGCTTGCGAAGGAGCAACAAACCATAATTTGTGGCTGGGATATAAGGGGAAAACAAGGCTTCCTGGATTGCTTTCCCCAAACTCATGCCAGGGGAAGAGCAAAGAGGGAGTGATCAGGCACCAGGCTCCAGCAGGCCTGTTAAGCCACAAGAAGACAGAAAGTCGTGCTTTGTTATGTGTGAATATTGTTTGATGTACACACATTCTAATAATTGTAATTTCATTTGGGATGCAATCCTAAGTACAGTTAGAGCCACATGCCTAGGATTACATTGTTAGAGATGCAACAAAACAATCATTTCAGTTCCCAAGAACTGAACACACACAAGTCACAAAATATGCCAAGATTAAAAAGGTAAAGGGACTCCTGACCATTAGGTCCAGCTGTGACCGACTCTGGGGTTGCGGCGCTCATCTCACTTTATTGGCCAAGGGAGCCAGCGTACAGCTTCCGGGTCATGTGGCCAGCATGACTAAGCCGCTTCTGGCGAACCAGAGCAGTGCACGGAAACACCGTTTACCTTCCCGCCGGAGCAGTGCCTATTTATCTACTTGCACTTTGACGTGCTTTTGAACTGCTAGGTTGGCAGGAGCAGGGACCGAGCAACGGGAGCTCACCCCGTTGCGGGGATTCAAACCGTCGACCTTCTGATCGGCAAGTCCTAGGCTCTGTGGTTTAACCCACAGTGCCACCCGCGTCCCAGATGCCAAGATTAGGTCTGCTTAAAACCCAAATCTCTATGCCCACTGCTACAAAAATACAGTATTTAATGAACACGCATTTCTCCCTCTCTCATGATACTGGAATTTGGGGTCTACCAATGACATGGATTGGCAATATATCCAGATAGACAATAATGAAGCACATTATGGAATTTGCTGCTCCAAAATAAAGTGGTGACTTCTAAAAGAACAATCCTGGCTTGCTCCCAGGAAAGTGGATATAGAATTGCAGCCTAAATGGAATTAGAAAATGCACGGCAATAAGATATGACAGTCATGGGCTCATATGTCTTTAGAAAGGATCAAACAAATCCATGGAGGTTAACTTTGATAACTAAATAGGATCTCTAGATTCAGAGGCAGTATACCTCACTAGGGGGCAAACAATGGGGGAAGGCTGTGTAGCCTTTATACTC